CGTACCGGTATATTAATACAGACAAGATACAACAATGAAAGTAGAAATCAGTCTCTTTGCAACCAAGCTGAAGAATGTGGCTGGATTTGGCAAGGGAACATCAGATCCATATGCCGTTGTGACACTGGGAGAAAGCAATCTGGGCAAAACCGAACCCTACAAGAACTCTCTCAATCCAATGTGGACAACTCGGTTCGTCACGGAATACACCAGAGAATTGGAATTGACCTTGAGTGTCGATATCTTCGATGAAATAAACAAGGGCAAGAAGGACAAGCCCATGGGCAGTGCCACCTTTGAATTGGGTGATGTCTTACAGTCGTCGGGTCACATCAAGTCGGCGCCTCTCAAACCGGGTGGAGAGCTTTATGTTCGAGTACAGGAACTTGCTCCCTTCGATCGAGGATCTCTCCACTTGCAAATCCGAGGTATCCAATTGGCCAATGTCGAAATGTTTTCCAAAAGTGATCCCTTTTATGAAATTCAAACAGCACGATCCCTTCCCAATGGATCTCAATTTTGGCAGCCCATTTACCGATCCGAAATCATAAAGAACAACTTGCAACCAAAATGGAACGAGTGTGAATTGTCGATTGAATCATTGTGTGCCGGAAACCACGAACGACCGCTTCAAATTCAAGTCTTTGATTGGGAAAAGAGTGGCAAGCACCAATCGATTGGAATGTTGCGAACGAATGTCAAAAAACTCTTGTCGGCATGTCTGACAAATGGAGTTTTGCAATTGATACAAGACAACAGATTCTATGGAACGCTCATGTGCACCAAGGCAGAAATTGTTGGGGAGGGCCTGGATCCCACCAAGCCCCCACCTCGATTCAAGACGATTAATGGGGTTCGCAACTTTAATCCACAATATGCCGAATGGCAACAACAATTCGGAAGTGGGGCTAGTGGTGGGCCAGCGCCAGCGCCTTCAAAGCAAACATTCTCGTACAATCCACCCAGATAGTTGTGTTGTGTCAAAGTGGTATTGTACTGTACAAGCATTTTTCTCTCGCAATGATGCTTTTAGCTTCTTTCTTAATTGTATATCTAATTGATCGAGATATCGTCTTCTTCTTCCATCCAACCAGCTTCGATACCAAGTTCTTGGACTTCGGACCAATCCATAGGGATGGGGTCCCACTTGTCGTATATTGACCCCACTTCGAATCGAGTGATACTTAGCACTGTGATCTCCGCGTCCTTGATCAAGGGAATCTTCTCGTCGATTCCTCCACGGTCATTGAAGCCTTGGTAGTACCACTTGAGATCTTCGGCCAAATCGCATTGGGAGCCAGTGTATCCGAGCTTTTCCTTGGCCATATCAGGGGCGACGTAAAAATTGGTCAGGCGGAATGGGAAGTACGCCTTGCCATACAACTCAGAATCGTAGTGTTCAATCATAACATTTTCCTTGGCGATGCCAGCAGCTTCGGCACACATGTAGGCTACTTCGTCGTACGAGTACAACTTATCGTTTCCGCAGTTGAAGAACCGTTGTTCGACGGCAGCCTCTTCGTTGTCCAAAGGAGCAATCAGCAACCTGGCAACATCTTTTGAATTTGTCAGGGAAACCTTTTGGGTGCCATTTTCAGGAATGGGAAGGGGCAATTCGCGGACCAAACGATGAAAGTACCAGTCAATGTAATCGTGCTTGTTGGACTTTTCGCCGTAAATGTATTGCGGGCGAAATGATACCAAGGGAAGTCCCAATTCAACAGCATAGGCATCGTATTGAGCTTGTCCTGAAGTCTCCTTGATGGGAGTGGTTTCGGGCATGGGAAAGGTAGTGTCGTCATCAGGTTGGTACATACCAGCGGAGGAAACATAGGTCAAGAGCTTGACGCCCCAGTCCTTGGCACAATCGCAAATGGCCTTTCCAGATCCTTCAGCTCCCTTGGAGCAATTGTCCCAAATGTATTCAAAAGTGGCATCTCCCAGTAGGCTTTTCACGTCGGCTGATGTCATGGAATCGCCACTACTGAGGGGTGCCTTGACGACTTTGACGTCGGGCAAATCGGAGGAATATGATTTGAATGGCTCCTTTTCATCATTGCAGGCATCGTCTTGAAGGATGGTAATGGAAGTGATTTTTTCGTGGTCTGTCAAAGCCTTCGCCAATTGGTAGCCTGGAATGAAAATTCAAACGTCAGCATGGGTATGAATGTAATGGACAAGGGGCAATGAGCAAAACATTAAGCGCCAAGATCATTGATTTTCATCAAAAAATCAAATCCCTACTCACCCAATTCACCGTGGCCTCCACCCTTGTTTTGGACGATCAAAGCAGCACTCATATCCAAGTGAGTGGTACTACTTCTTTGCGAGGCAGTGTTGGGAGCAACAAATGCTGTGGATCCAACGATCAAGCTGGCGGCCGATACAACAAGCTGAAATTTCATCATTTTCATTCGATTTGTCATGCAATTTCAAAGCGTCAAATTGAAGTCTATTGCAAGAGTTCGATGTGAGATGATGGTGATATGATATCGATGTTTGGTTTTCGTCGTTCGTCGTTGTCCGATGAGTGAGTGATGTACGTAATTGATGACTCACTCAACACTCGGGACTAATCAATACTCATGGTGTCAGGTGTCAGTGATGGATGGAATCTTCAAAACTGACGAGTTTTGGATTCCGTTGAAGTTTGACTGCCTGGTGGAACTAAGTGCGTGGTGTGAGATTCCATCAATCGATCATCAATCCAAAATCGGATTGTAAGACACAAGACACCTGCTGCCTACAACAAAATACATGAGGGTTAGCTCCAGTTTCCTAGCTCTCCTCGGAGTTGCTTCCAGCGCATTTGCATTCAATCTACAACCTAGTGTCGTACCATCGACCAATGTAGCTTCGAAATCGGCACAAACGGCATTGCACATGGAAGGATTTGCTGCCGCCGCTTCCAGTGAATGGGAGAGTCTTGGTCTTCCATCTCGCCCAGGAAGACCTCTCAAGGTCGCTATTGCTGGAGGAGGTGTTGGTGGTCTTACTTGCGCCCTTTGTATGCTTAAGAAAGGTTTCGACGTTACAGTTTACGAAAAAACTGAGGCATTCCAACGATTTGGTGGTCCCATCCAATTCGCTTCCAACGCATTGTCCGTTTTGAAGGAGATCGACGACACACTTTTCGACCGCGTCATGGAAAAGTTCACTTTCACCGGAACTCGTGCATGTGGTATTAAGGATGGTAGGTATCAGTTCCCATGCGAATCCTGAAACGAAGATATTGTTTTCATTGTCGTCATCTCCGCTCATCCAACAACATCCATTTATCTATCTATACCAATAACAGGACTTCGAGCTGATGGATCCTTTCGCATGACCAATGATTCCCTTGACTATTTGTGGAACCCTGATGCTCCTGCCGATTGGTTTGTCAAGTTTCCATTGAAGGAATGTGCTGACTTGTATGGACTTCCTTACACTGGAGTGATTGATCGACCAGATTTACAAGACATTCTAATGGATGAATGTAAGAAGATAAAGTCCGATTTCATTGTCAATGGAAATCAAGTTGTAGCGTATGAAGATCATGGTAAGGGAGAAGGTGTGGATATCAACTTGGCCGATGGCAGTACGGTTGATGCCGATATCTTGGTAGGATCTGATGGTATTTGGTCAGCAGTTCGCAATCAAATGTACGACGAAGGCGGTGTCAAGTCAACTAGTAAGAATGGAAAGATGAAGCAAGGATGCAAATACTCTGGATACACTGTCTTTGCTGGGGAAACAGTTCTGAAGACTGAAGACTACTACGAAACTGGATACAAGGTTTACATCGGTCCTCAACGATACTTTGTCACTTCTGATGTTGGTGGTGGCCGAGTTCAATGGTATGCCTTCTTCGCACTTCCTCCAGGCACAAAGAAGGCTCCGAGTGGATGGGGTGGTTCCACTCGCGATGAACAAGACGACCCCGAGGAGAACCTTGTCGAGTACATCAAGTCTTTACACGAAGGATGGAGTGATGAGGTTTTTACTGTCTTGGATGCTACTGAACCAGATTCCGTCGAACAGCGTGATCTGTACGATCGTGCCCCAGAATTCTTCCGATCTTGGGCAAAGGGAAATGTTGTCTTGATGGGAGATGCTGTACACGCAATGATGCCCAATCTTGGACAAGGTGGATGCCAAGCCATTGAAGATGCATTCGTTCTCACTGAAGAACTTGCAAACACCAAGAGTACTAGCAAGATTCAAGATGCCTTGCAAACGTTCTACAGAAAGAGAATCCTCAGAGCCAGCGCTGTTCAATTCTTGAGTCGTTTGGCGAGTGATCTCATCATCAATGCTTTTGACACTCCCTGGAGTCCTCATGACAACCTTGGCAAATCTTGGAAGAGCTACTTGACTTTCTTCTGGAAACCTCTCCTTCAATATTTGATCTTCCCAGCTCAATTCGCTTTCCTTTACTCCTACTACCCATCTGGTAGTTTGGAGGAGATCACTGAGAAGTTGGAAGCTCGATGGAAAGTAGAACACGAAAAGTCGGCAGAAGATGCCTTTTCAAAGGCTGAGAGCGGTTTCAAGTTTGACACTGGCCCATCGTTCTTCAAGAAGGCCGAACAACCGAGCACTGTGATGCAAGCACGAAAGGATTAAAGACCAGCTGCTTGGCTAGACTAAACTAACATAGATATTGTATGCTTTTATGGTCGTTTGCATGATTGCAGGATTCATTTGCTACAATGAGGGGATATTCAGCTGGTCTCGACAATGAAGGTATTCTATTGACAAATTTAGCAAAAAATACTTCACAACAATATTTTCCAGTTATCGATTTCCCTTACATAATATTATCAACTGCAAGATTTCATTCCCCGTAAATCTAGCAATTGGCTTTCCGAGAGAAATTCGGCTACCGGTAGAACTATTCCACCTTTTTCTCATTCGAAGTATTGGTCCTGGCCTTCTGCTCCATTATTTCGACCCTACGTCGCAACTGATCCCGTTCCTTGAACAGGTTGACTGCGTATTTCTTCCAATTGCCTGTTTTTACCTTTCGTGTTTCAGTGTTCGTGCGGGCAGCCTCTGTTTCAACGCTCGATGTCTCCAGATGTTCATCATTATTACCTTTCTGGCCCTCAAGTTTTCCGGTCCTCGATTCCATCAATTCTTTTTGGAGTATCTGGATTTTCGATACCTGTACTTGTGACTGCTCTTTTAGTTTTGCGTTCTCATCTCTCAGGCGACTTCGGATGGCTTCAACGTCGTCCTTTTCTTCTACTAGCTTGTATATTGATGTCTGGCGATCCTTTTCTTTGGCGAGAAGCAACTGATTCTCTTTTGACAGAGAATTCAATCGAGTTTGCAGTTCCTTCACTACGTTTACCCGCGTCTGCAATTCTTTGATCATCGTCTCCTGTCGTTCTGACTGCTCTTGTAGAGCTTTGTTCTCAAACTGTAAATTGATTTCTTCAACTCTCTTTTCTGAATCAGCATTCAATTGTAGTTGTAGTTCCTTCACCGCCACTTCCCCTTCCCCAACCTGGGTCTTAAGACGCGCAACTTGACTCTTGAGTGTCCTTTCTCTGGCTACCAGGCCCCTTTTCTCTTTTTCAACTTTCGAGAGCCTGGCTTTAAGCATAGAGCCACTCCCTTCGACGGACTGGGACTTCTCCACAGGAGAAACCTGGTCTCGCAAAGTTCTCAAATGGCGCAACTCCTTGTTTTGAGCTCTTATTGTATTTTTCATGGCGAGCTTTTCGCTAGAAAGCTTGGATAGTGTTGCAGCGTGAGCTATGTCGCCATTTTCATTCAGTCGATTCAGGCGAGTAGTCTCGTCTTCCAGGGATTCTAACTGTTGTTGCATGAGCCCCATAGCTTCTCCCTGCCTTTTTACCTGCTTTTGGAGCTTTTCGTTCTCCTTTCCCGCCTTCAAAATTGAAGAAGACTGCAATTTTTCTTTTGCAGCAAGCCACTCATTCTCCTTTTGCAAGATGACTAATTTGGCTTCATAAGCACAACCGTGATCATTGGACTCCTTTCGTGGCCCCTCAATAGTATCGCCATGTCTCCGGTTCTTATTGACTTCTCGTAACTTCTTCATCTCTTTCTCCATGTTCCCTAGTTGTTCTAAAAAAGCCTTTTTCTCATCATCTAATGACTTGATTTGTTTGTATAATACTTCAACAGCACATTTTTCTTTGTCCAGTCTTGAGACAGAATCCGTTTGAGATTGCACCTTTGCTGAAAGGGTCTCATTGACGTTTTGTAGTTTGGAGAGCTTTGATTCATAAGACTGTATCCTTTCTTTGATGAATCGATCTTGGTCCTTCGTTTCATTCTCGAGTAAAATAACTTGCTCTTGCAATGCTTCCAAAGTCCTGTCGCATATCTGGTTCTTTTGGTTGCTGAAATTTTCACTTATTTCCAATTTAGAGGCCTGAAGTGCAATCACTTGCTTCTTCAGTGTCTCAGCTTCTGTTTGACTATGTTTCAATTGTTGCTGACAGGTCGAATGCTCACCCTTGATGACTTTCATTACCTTTTTGTCTGCTTTGCGCTGTTGCAGTAAACTTTCAAGTTTGGAGGTTGTTGCAGAATGGGTCGAAACTAGCTTGGCTTCAAGGGTGCTGCAAAGTGCTTTCAGTTGCTGATTATCTTTCTTGAGCATTTCCGTCTCAGTTTCGGCTTTTAACAGCTGCTGCTTCAAAGCTCTTTCTTCGCTCTCCACTCTGCTTACTTTCACTTGATTTCGAAATTCCGTCACGCCCCTCTCAGCTTTCAACCACTTCTGACTTTCATTCCTACTCTCTTGGTCGAGTCGCTCCTTTCTGAATCCATTTCGCTCGAGACCTCCCTCCCCCCCATTGACGTCTTGAATCTGTTGTGACAAGTCGTTCTTTGCATCTTCCATAGCCTTCAATTGTCGCTTCAAAGATTTCAGAGCATTCAATTGCTTCTGAGACTCACTTCGCAATTGCCTCTTGGCTATGTCTTGGTCCTCATACTTCTTTCTTAATTGATTATTCTCTCTTACGAGCTTCAATATCGTCAAATAATCTGAGGGGTCGTTCTTCTCATGCTTCTCGTTCGCAATATCTTCCTTTCTTCCATCTACGTCTCTGTGGGAGCATTTCCCTCCTTCACTTATGGCAGAGATAGAGCTGGCCGAAGCGTCCCTGGAAGCAACAAAATCTGCCGTCGTTTGTCGCATCCGTTTTCGATGCTGTA